TAAACTAGAATTTTTGGTAACATAGGTAAAATGGTATACTTAGTGCTCTATGGTGATTCTCATCATGAGAGAAGTTTGGGAAACACTGCTAGACTGTGTCCATGGGTTATGCATGTATGCATTACAAGTTCTTTGGTTGAACATCTCCAACACACCTACCCTTGTCCACCTTAATTATAATATATTCTAGATTTTTTCTTTATATGTTCAGTTTGGTTCTGATAGGCTTGCAGGAAGAGAATGCCAGATAACTCTGAATGATTTTTATTTCAGGCTGACTTTGTTGTGTAGTAAAAATTTTGTCTCAGTACCAAAGTGCAGTGCCCAGAAGTCACCTTTCTCTTTATTGTAATCATATCACTTAGTTGAATTATCATCTTCCTTCCTTCAGATGTCTTTTTCATATTTAGCAGCAAATGCTCCCAGTGTACTCTTCCATGCCCAGTGAACAAACCTGAGTGATTGTTGACCAGAAGTCAGATGGGCTCTCTTGATATCAGAGAATGCACCTGATACCACCCATAGTTTATGTCTTTAAAACGGGCCTTACTTATGGTCACAGAGAGCTGCTTTGGCTCCATCATGTGAGAAGTCTAAATAGACCCACTTTCCCCCACTGCTGCTCCTATGAGGACATGTTCTTACCACTGACTTTGGTTCAGGGAGCAGTGACTGAAGGTTCTCCTACAACCTTCAAGAGTGGAAGGACTGGGCTGCGAATACCAGCTGCCTCTTTCAACCACGATGGTTCCTTGAACATAAGAGCCTTCTTCTTCCCAGTGCTCCCAGGGCTTTGCTCAATGAGGAACACTACAGAGCAGAATCATAGCTGGGCTTCCAATCTTCCATCTCTATGTTCCCTAGTACCATCCTATCTGCAAGGCTGTCTTCCCCTCGGATGGCTGGGTGGGACGACTGGCAATCCAATGAGTGATATACCACTATTTCCTTCAGTCTGACTCAACGCCCAGCCCATGTTGCCTGTTGCTTCCCTGCCCCACACTGACCCGTGGTCAGGTCTCTGCTGCTTTTTCCACCACAGTTCCGAGGTCAGGGAGAGCACCTAGTCTCTGCCAGACAAGCATTCATGACTTTGGATTTTAAAGAGAAGTGTGGGAATCTTGATTTCTTTCTGCCTCCAAGGCCCCTGGGCGAATTATGCAGCGGTTCCCAATTAATCCTCATTATATACAAGCATAGCACATAAATAATTTTCCATTAAAAATTAAAGGTCTTGCTGCCACAAAAAGTAGTGGGAAATTGGCATAGGAAAGAGTCAGCTTGTTCTCTGTGACAATGGCATCTGTCACTTGGACTAACTTCCTGCAAATAATGAACTTGATAAAGGGATTGGGCTCAGTCTCTGCTCAGCACCTAGCACACTTATTTAGGTGCCGACCCAATACTGTTATGTAAGTGAACAAACTCAGTTGCATTCATTCACATGGAAAGGTAAGGCATTTGTCTCACAGGATACTCAAGTGTTTAGGACGTTCCATAATTCATTATATCTGACGTAGTATGGCAGGTAAATTGATAGGAAATTAATTGGAAGACAGTTCCAAACATAATAGCTCAGCAGAAACATCCAGAATCAATTAATCAAACTGCAACACATTTTCATTGGCCATACATTGGAATCTTTAACTAAGCTTTTAAAGCTAATCCTATTTACAATACCCTTGTTTTCCAAAATAGTTACATCTTAAAATAAGATATTAACTTGATACCTAATGGTAAGGTAAAACTCTTCAATACATGTATGACACATAGGTTTATATTTCATTAGACATTACTTTTTTGATGATTTAAAAAGGTAGTTTAAAACTATTTGACTAGGTAAACATGAACTCTTTAAAAATATTATTTAAGAGGCCCTGTTTACTAAGCTGAGTATTGATTTTTTTTTTCCCCCCCTCAGGGTTACAAATACTATTTAAGCATTTTTTTCTGACCTTCTTCTCCACCTGGTATTTATTTATACCCATAGCACCATGGGGTAATTGTGTGTTTACCTGCCTAAATCTAGACCAGACTGTGAGCTCTTTGAGAGCAAAATCATTTGCATACAACTCTGAACCTCTGCTGCCTGACACAGTTCCCAGCAAAGAGCTGCGAAATAAAACTTGCATTTTTGAAATGCCATTCCAACTGCAAGTGATCTGCGGACTAGAAGAGAACGGAACTTTTCTTGTTTGATCATATTTTCTTTTTGTGGAGAAGAAAGAGGCTTCCTTGTAACAAAAGACCACCTGTCGCTTCTGGTCCCATTTCTCCTTTCGACTAAATGTATTTGTGTTACAATCACTCAGCTATGCCCATGGGGCTGGCCCTGGACTCCTCTATGCCTTTAGAGTCTCATCATCTGAACCAAAACAAAAGAAAATAAAAAAGAATAAACCAGTTGGAACAGTTGAAAACGAATTGTATTCAGTTGTTGGACTCCAGTTATTTCCTTATCATTACTTCCCTGGCAGAACGCCTAAGTCAGAGAGCCTGGATGTTTAGAGTGACAGGTGCCTACCAGACAAGGATTTAACATTACTCTGTGCTGTAAACTGTATACGTACCATGATCCACCATGCTACACCATGAAGTGAGTGCATATACCAGGAGCATGCCTCTAGTGCAGACTTCACAGGAGCTGCCCTCCTCCAAAGAACTGGGGCTAAAGGCCAAGCCAAGGCCATGGGCTGCCTTACCCAGGAAAGAAACCTCCAGCAAGGATGCCGAAAACATGTGTCAGAGACTTAACTCTGAGCCCTAGACATCCTTACTGAGTTGTTAGCAGATGGGAGAAGAGGGAAGTCTGAAGCCAAGGTGAGGAGCAGCTTTCATGTGGAAGGAGAGAGACTCCCAGAATGACAGGAGATTGAGTAAATGTAGGCCAAATGAAACAAGAAGACTGTCAGCTATTCTGAAACTGGGAGGAAGTCAGTCCCTTCTTTCCTGCCACACCCACACAAACTAGAATTGGGGTACATCTGGGATTTAGAAATAGAAAGTCTGACCCACACCCTGAAGACTTCTATATTCTCATTGAAGAAGCACAAATTATGTCAATTGAAGCCATTTGAATACAGAAATTTAATACAGTAGTTTGAATAGAGATCATCAGACTATCAATCTGAATTATAAAGAGCATTAGTGCATGAGTCCAGAATCCTCAAGAGTTCTTTTAGTTTCCTCTTCATGGTGTTTCATTATCCAAAAATAAAAAATTAATTTATTCTCTAGTCATTGAGTTTTATCCTTAGTCTCAGCCTCTGGGGCCCAACATCCCTGTGCAACAAAAGGGTTCCTCTCTTCAGACTTTGAAGCAACAGGCCCCCATGTCCCAGGCCTGAGATATAATCTGGTTTAATTTAAAACTGTATTGGTTAATTCGTAGTTACTACTAATGTAAATTGCTAATGAATTAGTTATTACCAATGGCTATTGCACAGCTGTTATGGTCCGGGTACTGTTCTACAGGCCTTATTGAATACGCTCTCTAGTGAAGGGACCCTGACAATATATGGCATAAATTAGTAAAATATAAAGCCTGGTAGATGGTGACAAATATTTATGTAGGGTCCTTCTGGCCAACTTTTGTTTATTACATACAAGAAACCCTGAAATCTCCAAGGATAAGGAGGCTTTAGTAATTAGGGCCAGACTAGGAGCTCAGTCAGCCAGGCGGGAGGGAGTGCACATTAACGCAGGTAGGTACAGAGCGGGTCTGAGGTCCTGGGAGAGGCAGCACCATCTGTGCAAAGACGAAGCTCCTTTTTAAAGACCCCGTACCATCTAAGTTCCTCCTGACAGGATCACCTGAACAATTCAGATTAGGGCATTATTATGCCACTTCAAGTCCTGAGCATTTGTTAATGATATTTCTGGGCACAGATTTATGTGAAAGTCATCCTAGAGCTTGCATTCCCATTAGATAGTGCTTTAAATGTGGAGGACAGTGTTTGAGGGAGATTCACCTCTGAGGATTGTTGAACATGTATTAACCACCCTGTTTCTGGGTCACAGGATCAGTATTTCATAGGGTAGGCTCCTCAATCTGTGTTTCAATAAAGCCTTTACATGTCTACTCATAGTCTCTAAAGTTTGAGAAGCTTTGTGTAGAATAACGGGGTTTGATCCTTTCCAAACGTCTTAAATTTCTCCAAAGGTGACTTGATAAGTGCATATTGTTGTGTATTATTTAATAAACTAGAGGCCTGGTGCATAAATTCGTGCATGGATGGGAAGGGACATGAGAGGCTGGCTGGCCAGCCCCATCCCCAATCAGGGTGAGAGGGCAATCGGGGCGTGGCTGGCTGGGGGAGGGGCCTTGGACAGTCGGTTGGCCAGCTCCACCTCTTGGTCAGACTCCTGGTCAAACCCCCGGTTGAGGGGACAATTTGCATATTAGCCTAATATTGCATATTATTATATAGGATGTTATACCACTGTGTTTCTTCATCAGACCTCGTTCCAGTTTTGTTGAGTGTTTCCAAGCTTAAAACGATGAATGCTGGGCCAACATTTTGAAAAAATTCAACCAAAAAAAACCTCCAACTAACAGACCACATCAATGTGGTCAAGTTAGGAGGACTCAAGGTTTCTTTATAATTCCCACTAAGTTGCTGTGGTACCAGCATCAGGATCAGTTTTCCATCTGAGGACAAAACACACTTATCCACAACTATATTCTTATTTAAAATTGCAAAAATGCATTACTTCCTACATAAGAATGTTTAGAAACCTCCTCAATTTAGAGTTTAATAAATACTTTGTAGAAAACAAATATGTAACAGACTCATCTTTTAGAAAAAAATGAATTCATGTTTTGTCTTTTTCAAGTCTTTTCATGTTTGTTTGTTTTTTAATCTCAAACTGTGCTTCCAGAATTATACTTTTGTTCTTCCAAGTCTGCAGTTCCCTGGGAGGCCTCAGTTTTGCTTGGTCTTTAAGTCCTGCATGAGACGCCCAGGACCCTGTTTCCATCTACAGTGTCTCCCTTCCAGGTGGGACGGCCACCAGGCAGAGGGGCTTCCTGGGATGCCTGCGGGCGCTGCAGCTGAACGGGCAGGCGATGGACCTGGAGGATAGGGCCAGGGTGACCCCCGGTGTGGAGCCCGGCTGCCGGGGGCATTGCAGCAGCTACGGAAAGCTGTGTCGCAACGGAGGGAACTGCAGAGAGAAGCCCAGCGGATTCTCTTGCGACTGCACCTTCTCTGCATACACAGGGCCTTTCTGCTCCGATGGTAAGGAGGACGTGGGTACCGAAGAGGAAGGCATATCCAGTATGAATGAACATCTGTTATTGTCTGTGCTGCTATTTGAAACACAAAAATCCATTTCTTTTTTTTTTTGTTAGTTTTGCAAAATATATATTTCTTGCTCATCACACTTTATTTCTTAGGATTGCCTCCATTCCTGAAGAGTATTTATTGATGATGTCTTAAAGTGTTAAGTGCTCAATCTGATTTTTTTTTTCTATCTAATATTAGTGCTCTTAATATGGTTGTCAACAACCTGCCCTTGGGACAGTTCTCTATTGTAAAAATCATTAAAGGTATTATTGTTATTTTTATTTTATATTTCTAATCCTCACCCTAGGATATTTTTTGCATTAATTTTTAGAAAGAGTAGGAGGGAGGGCAGGAAAGAAGGAGAGAGAGAGAGAGAGAGAGAGAGAGAGAGAGAGAGAGAGAGAGAGAGAGAGAGAGAGATCAACATGAGAGGTTGGTTGCCTTCCTCACTAACCCTTACCAGGGAACTTTCAGCCGAGGTACATGCCCCTGATCAGGAATCGAACCTGTGACTCTTTAGGTCCGCAGGCCAAAGCTCTGACCACTGAGAAAACTGGCCAGGGAAATTATTGTTATTTTTGATGAAGATAGTCAATGATGCAGGAAAATCTAGGGCATGTTGTTTTGTTTTGTTTTCAGCTTTTTTTCAAATAGATATTTCTCTAAGAATATAAATACCTTTTTATTATATATTGTTGTATAACAAAATAAGGGCATTTTGCTCTATGATGTGTCAAGTATCTGGTTCTGAAATAAAATAGTGGAATAATTTTCAGCTTGTCTAGTTCACTGGTCTACATCATGGGAGGAAAAAGAGCTGAGTGTAGTATTAAGTGATTTGGACAGACGCCTCTGAATATATAAACATTGGTTATACTTTCACAGTTTCTCATAGAAAACTGTTGTCCAGTTCAATTCGGTTGCTTTATTTAAATGTTTCTGGCTTAGTGGACCTTTTCTGAGAGGAGACTAACAACAACAGGCTCCAAATGGAAGCCACCTCCAATTTGCAACGCAAGCATTGGGAGTTATTTAGTGAAAAGTTGTCAAAAACACACTCTGCACGTTATCTGCTTTTTCTCAGGAATGAGTTATCATTTGAAGCCCACCTGTAGTCATAAATCTCACATTGCTGCTGCCATCTTAGGAGACTTTTCACATTTAAAGTTGGAAATAAGGCTGCTTGGTCACCGGAACATGTCTTCATTTTCTGAATCGAAATGACCTCTGGTTCATCTTGTTAAGTGCATTTAGGAATTCTGTATCCACATATTATGCTCAATATAAAAAGTATATAATAGATAATTAAAGTAATAAACAGAAAACCTCCTGAAGTTCCACGGGAGTGGGAACGTTGCTATATTAACAGTAAGCATCATCCATAAGTCAGATCCAACAACTGGGCCTGCAGAGTAATGGACAGAAGCAGGTTCTGGATGCAACACTGTCTTCCCCACTGTCCTCTTCATTTTTTTTTTTTTTCCAAACCGATATTTCTCTAAGAATATAAATACCTTTTTCATTATATGTCAGGGAGAAAGGAAGTTTGAGACCTTCTATTACCTACGTGTATACTTGGCATGGGAATGTGTGTGTGCAGGTGTGTGTGAATCTGAGATGTTAATCTCACATGAGTAAAATACTCTGCCTGGGTACAATCATTTAAAAGAGGCTGGATAGTCCCTTATATGCTTCACTGCTACACAAATGCCCATTTCTCCTTTCTCCTATTAATGGTGGACTTTTTAGTGCACAGTGAGGAGGAGAATGTTTCCTTACACAGAAAGGAACATTCTGCCTGCTGATTCTGGAAGGTATAGAAGGCCTCAAACTTTCTTTGTCCCTGATATAGGAAGACAGAGTTTTCTGGCTATAAAATGATAGGTGGGGCTTAGAAGTTAAATAAGAAAATGGATGGGAAGGGAGATGAAAGTCAAGAAGCCTGGTTTATATTAAAACTCCGGAGATCATTAAGCTTTCAATGATGAGATTAACTAGTGGATTAATTACTTATAATTTTAACATAAAGCCATTTCAGGGACCATTGTGAAAGCTCTGTTAATTTATAGTGTTATTTAATTCTGGTTTGAGGGTATTTCTCATATTTATTTAATTGGTTATTATCATTAAAAATATCAGTTAATATCACCAGAACAAGATTCTTGGTCTTAATTTTTAACGTGGAATGTATATGTCATTTCAGAGATCGCTGCGTATTTTGGATCCGGCTCGTCCGTGGTTTACCATTTTCAAGAAAATTATCCCTTAAGTAAAAATGCCAGCTCCCACGCTGCTTCATTCCATGGTGATCTGAAGCTGCGCCGAGAAATGATCCAATTTAGCTTCCGAACAACACGGACACCCAGCTCACTGCTCTATGTGAGCTCCTTTTATAAAGAGTACCTTTCAGTCATCATTGCCAAAAATGGTGAGTGCTTTTTAGATGAGAGAGAGAAAATTGAGTTAGAGCATTACATCAGTAATAATACAAATCATTCTCATGTTCTATAGACTACAAAAAGGAAGAAACACACACACACACACACACACACACACACACGCACACAACACCTGCAAATTCATAATGTCTTTTTTGTATTCAATTTTGTATTTTCACTACAGTCCCATAAATCAAATCTATAAAGGATTAATGAAAGGAATTAAGATGCCTTATCTCATAATTTTGATAAGTATACACAGCCCATGTGAATTATAATTTATTATATAAAATGTTTGTTAGAGTTTATTATTGCTAGAAGCTCTTTACTATTCCACATGAATATCAGCATCAGTGCTGTGGTTGATTTTGAAATAAGATGTTACTCTGCGCATAACAAATATTTCCTTCACATCAAAATACAAAATTTTGAAGGAATGCTGACAAACTAGTATTATGTAGAAGAAGATGCCCACAAAATAATCTGTTGATTCTGATTATAGGCAATAAAATAGCCATGGACAATGCTGGTGCCTTGATGCAGGGTAATGGCATGTGGGTTAGGACATGTGACTCCTACAGAAACCTCATCACAAAGACTGCTTACTGCTATTTTGTTCTCTTCCCTTTATCCTGATTAAAGATAAAAATTTCATAAATGCATTTCTGCATGAGGAACATAAACACATTTACAAACATGTGAATATAGCATTTCAGTTAAATCAAGCATGGCCCATGGGCACTGAGGGCCAAAGTAAAAATAATATTGTATAATACCATATTTTCCGGCGTATAAGACGACTTTTGAAACAAACAAAAAAAAAGCCTGCCCAGATTGGCCAGAGTCAGAGAGGCAGTCTATTAAAAAAAGAACTGGTGTTGCCTCAGAAGTGGGGCTGTATAAGTAGTCTTATACAGCGAATATAGGCCTAAACCTATGTTTTAACTGTAAAATTAGGGCGGTTGTCTTATATGCCGGAATATAAGGTAGGTGAATTTGCCTTTAATGTATACATTATGAGCTTAAAGCTTATCTATATGTTAGCACTTGTTCTTTGTTAAATTGGGAGATATTCTATGAAGTAAACTGACATCTTTACAGACAGTTGAGTGCTACAAATAGTAAGTTTTGGCTTAAAACCACTTATTTTGCTCTAATTTCATTCCAAAATTTAGACCATGACCACTTGGCCAAATATTTCTCATCTTTAGTAAAACTACATTTGCTTAATAATTGTATTAATCAATTACATTTCAGGGATGGAGATTATAGAAACATAATGCTATTATACTATTGCACAATAGTTTGGTATTTTATAATATACCAAGTATTTTTTATTTTTTATTAGAAGCTAGTACAGATATTTGTATTTACTTAATTCCATATTGACTTCTAGGGAGGGGAAATTAAAATTTTGCAGGAAAAACACTGCTTATTAGCAACAGGCTTGGACTTGATTTCACATAGAAACTGACTTCTAGGAATTATGATGACAGGATACACCCACATAAAATATTGTGAATTTCCCCCAGAAATTACTAAATAGCAACAAATGTACTCTGCATTTTTTATAAGTAATCTTTAAAATACAATTTTAACTGGAAATATAACTTGCCTCCCTACTTTAGGAAGTCTGCAGGTCAGGTACAAACTGAGTAGATATCAAGAACCAGATGTCATTACCTTTGATTTCAAAAACATGGCTGATGGGCAGCTTCACCGCGTCCAGATGAACAGAGAAGAAGGAGTGGTCTTCGTAGAGGTAACATAGCAAACCCTAGAGAAGACAGGGCTACAGGAGGCCTGGCCAGTGTGAGGGGCTGCAGCAGAAATGTGACAGTGGAAGAGTAAACAAAGCCATCCTCTCAGGCTGCTGGTGCACTGCCCCTGCCATCAGATGTGTGGGCAGAGTGTTTTAAGGGGGATACGATTCTGTCCGAGATATTGTTAATATTTTATACTCAAATATACAAACTTGCAGCGTTTGTCTTACTGCTCAGGAGGGAAATGCTGTCCAGTTTATCATCGTGCACTACTGGAGGGACTGTTGCTGCTCCGAGGAACCCTGTTCGCTTCGGGTGGCTCTAAAGGCAGCCACAACTCTAGCACTGAAATTAATTACTGCAACGTCAGTAAATATGGAAGTAATGCGAGTCACAGCCGAGAAAGGGGATGCATTCTACCAGCTTTGGAAGAAAAGCACTAATGTTTCAGCATAGAGGAAAATTTATTAGCCGAATAAACTCAAGTAAAAAATAAAACCATGTTGGCTTTATCAATTTTGACTTTCTCATATAGTGGAGAAAATGGAGAAAAATAAAGTGATTAAGGGGATAGAAGGTGGGGTGCAGTCTATCGGAGGGTAGTATAGAAATACTTTAGAAAATAATATTCAATTTTATATATGGCTAACCTTGCATATTTTGTCATTTTTTGGGTTGTTTTTCCCCTCCTTTGCTTCCTGTCCTCTTCTCAACAAAATGGCATCCATTTGGATTTTGGCATCTCATATAACAATTTTGTAGATTGACGAGAATGCAAGGAGGCAAGTCCACCTGTCATCGGGTACAGAATTCAGTGCAGTCAAATCTCTTGTACTCGGCAGGATTTTAGGTAAGTAAAAGAAACACCCTTTTCTCTGATAATGATGCATAGACATGGATCAGAAGAGTCATATTCCAAACACACAAATACACACACATACACACACACAATACCAACAAATTCATCATGCCCCTACCTTCCCACAAAAATCTCTGGCCTTATTTTAGTTATAAGGCAGCAAGTGTCCTTTCTCAGAGGTACATGTTATTCTGAGTAGGGACCTCCTGCAGGGTGAGCAACCATTCTCCTTCATAGTGTTATAATGCCACTCTGGCTGGCATAATGAAACAAGATATTGTTCTCAAACTTCAAAAATATCAAATAATAACTGAGGGACCCCTCCCCCCCAATTGCACGAAAGTCATGCACCAGACCTCTAGTATCAAATTATAGCCCTATGTGTCTAAGTGGTTAGAGTGTTAGCCTGCATATTGAAAGGTCTTGGGTTTGATTCCAGGTCAAGAGCACCTACCTGAGTTATAGGTTTGATTCTTATCCCAGGCTCTGGTCAGGAGTGTTCAGGAGGTAACCAATTGATGTGTCTTTCTTCTCTCTCACATCAGCCTCTTTCTCTCTCTCTCTCGCTCTCTCGCTCTCTCGCTCTCTCGCTCTCTCGCTCTCTCGCTCTCTCGCTCTCGCTCTCTCGCTCTCTCGCTCTCGCTCTCTCTCTCTCTTTCTGTCTCTCTGTCTCTCTTTCTCTCCCTCTCTTCTCTCTTTCTCTCTTTCTTTATATCTCTTTCTACCTCTCTCTCCCCCTCCCCCCTTATTATCTCTATCTCTTCCACTCTCTATGAAAATCAATGGGAAAATATCCTCCAGTGAGAATTAACACACACACACACACACACACACACACACACACACACACCACACCACACAAGAAATCAAATAGTAAAGTTAGAAAGAACAGGTTACCTAACTATTTCATCCAAGATAGTAAATGTACTTAATTTTTTTTTTTTTACCTTTTCCATGATTTGTACCTTGATTAATCATTCCTTACATTTCCTGTACATAATCTCACAATCTTGAGAATGTTTGATTAAGCCTATGGGTGAATGATCAAAATATTGGCCCTGGAGAAGATTCACCATTAAGTTTATAAATATTTATAGGCTTTCTAGTACCATGATGAGTATCACAGTTGTGTGCTCTTACTCTCCAGACTAGGGAAATACCATGGATGGCAGTGTTCTTTCAATGTGCTAGAGTGGACATAAAAAATATGTGCAAAGTATTGTTGAGGTACTTGGAAGCTTAACTGAAATATTCCAAATGTGTTTCATAGTGTAAATTATATAAATTCAACTATAGCAATAAAAAATCAATTGAATATAACAAATCTTCAGCTCAAGCGTTCCTCAGGGTAGCAGGGTCTGAGATGAGGCATTATGTAAACATGTAAAATACAAAGTAGAAAATCATAACAATTATGCATAATGTTGATACAATCATATTTTTAAAGAAATAACATCTTCAAATGTAATGCCAGTGTTACTGACTAAAATATTTTTGTGAGTAGAAATATATTAAATATATTATAAAACTATTAAGAAACTGATCTTCATTCTATGAGGAGGATTGTATTAACCAAGGAGAATAATAACATTCATTATATAAATATTTGTTTTCCTTTTTGTAAAGAAATAGGGGAGATTAGTATGGAATTAAAGTTGTTAATGTTTTTATTCAAGATTAGTATATTATTCAAATGCATATTGCTAAAGCTGAAAAACAAGATTAAAGTCCAAATTCAGCAATGAACTGCTACTCATTATCCCAAAAGTATAAGAAAATTTATTTGATGTGTAGCTAAGGTTTGGATCTTGACAGAGGACTAATACTGAGTTCAAATCATTTGTAATTCAAAATAGACTAATAATTTATGGTCAAATTTAGTGTGGTATATGACATTACAATAAAATGTTATATAGTATATTATTATATTTTAATGCAATATATTAAATTATAGTAAAATAGATGCTAAAATGGAACTATTAATTTTTCAGAGAGTTGCTCAATCTTGAAGTTTCTCATTATGTTAGTCCAGGTCCTCCAAGAAGCAGTTGAAAAGATAAACTTAACCACGTGAGGGTCTTATTAAGGCAACACTGTGAGAAAGAAAATAGGGAGGGAGTTGGCCCAGACCAGCATTGCAATCCAATGACGGTAATGCAATTCTGCCTCTGAATGAAGGGGAGCAGTGGAATGGGGAAAGTTAGACAGAAGTATCCTGGACTTCTGTGCAGTCGTACAGAGGTTGCACACCCTTTGGGGATCCCTGGAGTCAGTTAACCATCAGAGGAGTCCCATGTTTTCCACCAATGGGCCTGCCTTAGAGTCTCTGCTGTGACCAGCCATTGGCCGGGAACAGTCCTTGGGAAGCATGGCTGGGCCCAAGCATGACAGTGTGTTTCAGAGCCATAGCCCCTGGTGAGTTACTCTCCTCTAGTTGGAGGTCTTCAAGGCACGTTCTTCCTGACCCTGCTTATCAAATACTAGAGGCCTAGTGCATGAAATGCGTGGACTCGGGGGGACAGAAGAGGGAGGTTCCTCAGTCTGGCCTGAGCCCCCTCTCAGTCCGGGATCCCTCAAGACATCCCTCTATCAATCTGGGACCCCTCACACCTTTCCACCTACCTGATTGTTGCTCCTTACCTCTCAACTCACTGCTCCTTAGCGCTGCAGCAGAAGTGGGAGAGGCTCCCACCACTGCCGTGCGACACTCACCAGCCAGCAACTCACCAGCAGTAAGCCCAGCTTCTGGCTGAGCAGCACTCCCCTGTGAGAGCACACTGATCACTAGGGGACAGCTCCTGTGTCGAGTGTCTGCCCCCTGATGGTCAATACGCATCATAGCAACCAGTCTTTCTGGTCGTTCTGCCTTAAAGATCCCTTAGGCTTTTATTATATAGATGGTTTTCATTTTTGAAAGCCCATTTGGCTCACTGATTCGTTCAACTCCTAGTTTGTGATCCGCTGTTGTGTAATATAAGAAAGTCACACAGCAAGGGAAACATTGCATCTGCCCCCAGAGCTTATGGTTTGTGGGCATTGAGATGATCGTTAGGCAAAGTGTTGCTCTGTATTTAATTGAGTATAATATATCTTATATTGCTTCAGATAAAAGAGTTCTAAATCACCCTCCAGATTAAAATAAATTAAAATACCTGTATCATTTTATAATTTCTGAATATTTTTTAAGGGAGCAGAATATAAATTGACTAGTTGTTTCTTTTTGGGGTTGTCATTTGCCTCCATTGTCCACTGCAGCTTCAGATGGAAACCCAGAAATGAAGGATATATTTTCCCACTCTCACTTTCTCTGATATTCATTTCTTAAATCCAGGAGGAACTGAGGGGCAATTTCGGATTACTGTTAATGTTAACAAATATTAGAAGCAGATATTGAGAAAGGAAGGTAAATTTTAAGAAACAATATCAAATTGTAGTAAGACCCTATTACACTTGAAATTTTTAAAGCCTCACTAACTTCAGCAATAATAATGTATTAAGTTGCGAGCTATGGTGGAAAAATCAAGGCTTTACCCAAGCAGGGCCTCCTGTCATGAATAATATAGCACATTAAGTTTGCTTTTCATATTCATAATTCACTGCAAAATTGAGCTCTGAATTCTGTACCCAGATGCTTTGATATGTTAGAATGGTTTTATGATTTATTATAGGTACAAGCCGGTTACTTTTCCTCATTCTGATTGGTAGCACTCATATGTTAGGGGTGATGGCCAGTGGTGATCATTGCTCTCTTCAGAGGCTACGAGCCAGGAAGCACAGGCAGGTCGCTGCAGTGCAGGTGTGGGCAGGTGTAAATAAAATGTGCAGTCAGCAAAAGAAGGGCATCTACTCGGTCTCACTGAAGAGCTGTGCGAATAATTTTTAACATGTCAGAAATCCTCTCTGTAAAACGAGCCTCCATGCCTAGAAGCAAGGGGAAAAGGTGACTTAGGTAACCAAGGGCACCGTGACTTTGTAAACACAGGAGGGGCAAAAGCAGGTTGATAGTTATTCATATGGAAAAGAATACAATAATAAATAAGAATAAACTCTGTTTTGTGCACTCACAACTGTAAACTTATTTTTGCCCAACGCTACTGTATATTGTGAAATGCCTCTTAAGATAATGGACTGGTTACTTTAAAAGCAAGTTTTAAAGGAGACATACAGTGTAGAGGAAGCAAAGTAAGAAAACTACTGAAAATCATTTCTTTTTAAGTGAGCAGGTTGATTTTTAAATATTTTACTATTTAAAATGTCATAGACTATCTTCAATACATAGTGTGACTTCCTTCTTGAAAGAAACTACCTAAAGTCATAGTTTATATTCATCACATTGATTTTTGAATTTTTTAACAATTTAAATGTCATAGACTTCTTCAGTGTGTGGTGTGACTTCATTCTTGCTTTGGTCCTTTTCAGAGTTAGCTGGATTATTTTGCACTACCCAGACCCAGAAACTGAAAAAGGCCATTTCTCCTCATTAGGACGCATGAGCATAGGTCAGAAGTGTCATGTACCAAGTCCAGAGAACACCCATGACACCGAAACATGTTATCTGATTTTAATTATAGAGCAAATGATAAGGTCGACATTGGGCTTTATCAGAGCCACCGATCATCACAGGTACTCCAGGTGGGAGGGACAAGCTTGTTCCATCACCCGGTCACCTTCATTTGGCCATCAGACATACAACACTTTAAAAAATGCCAAATGATGACAGTAGTCACAAAGCCCAATTATGTACGTATCAGCTGCCAGGCCTAGAAACGGTCCTACAATGTCAAAACTAGAATAATCTCTAAAGGAGAAAGCAATTGTTTATTTATTTAATTATAACATGCTTCAAAATGTACCCGCACCATGGTAAAGTAAAAAATAAAGCCATGATCAGGTGCCCACACTGTTGTGTGAGTGGATTCATTAAAGAACAGGCATTGATGGGAAAGAGCAGGGGAGGGGAAAGGAGATTGGTGGGGGTGTGGATTCAGGAC